AAACTTGGTGGTACCTGCCCTGCCTGACCTGTGTCAATAAAGGGCAGGTGAGCACACTAGTCAGAAGGCTGCCTTGCTCTGCACACCTCGCCTGTCCAGCTTTCGGCTCAGTTGCCTTATTATGCATTCATCTAAAGTTAAAGGCCCATGTTCTGGGTGCAGATTATGCCCAACAGGCTAAACCCAGGGTTCTTCAGCACCAGCAGACAGCGGCAGCTCCAGCACCGGCTGGGAAGCTCTTACAAGGTCTCTGACTTCCAACTGAAACCACTGAATTAGCAGCTCACAGCTGGCGCCCAGAAGTACACACACTGGCTAGAGCGCTCCAGGGCCGAGGTGATACGATCAGCCATTCACTTGTCTACTGCTTTCAAGTTTAGTAAGTTCAGCAACTCAGAGAAGGAGAGCGGTGACTGGGTAGGGATTGTGAGGAGTCGTTCCAGCTTGGGATACAGAGGATGGCCAGCCTTCGTGTGTTAGGTGGCAGTGTGAAGGGCACCAGGTGCCCTGCCATGACAGTAACAGACCACTTATGTCACCGAGATGTACGAGTGATCTAAGCATCCTTGCCGGCACGTGGCTGTTGGCACTATTGCTCGAACGAACATTCTGGTTGTTAATGTAGTGGGGCCTCACTGCGCCACCCACATTTCCCTGATGGGTAATTGTGCACCTGCTGACTGTTTTTTGTTTCTCTTTTGTGAAATATTTCTTTCCAGTTGCATAGCCTTTGATTCTTTAATATTGAAATTTGAGTGTTCTTTATATATTGTAGACAGCAGTCCTGGCTAGAGATTCCTCACCGTTTATCTTTGTCAACATTGTTTTAGCTATTCTAGATTTGTGCTTTTTCCACATTAATTTTAGAATGCTCTTGTCTATATTTGATCCAAAACACTCGTGAAATTTTAGTTTGACATTTTATAAACATACAGATCAATTCAGGGACCCTTGACATCTTAAATATGTTGAGTTCTAATCCATGGACATAGTACATACCTCCATCTGTTTATGTCTTTGGGTTATTTCTTTAGTATTTTATAATTTTAAGCATACAGACGCTATACATGATTTTAAAAGATATAGCTGTGTATTTCATTTTACTGGAGTAGTGTTAATGGTACTTTTTTTTTTTTACAATTTGGTTTCTATGCTTTCATTTTGGGTATATGTATTTTCTGTGCTGATTCTTACATAACCTTGCATAGATTAGCTCTAACAGCTGCTTTATAGATTCTTTGGGATTTTACACCCATCATTGTGTCATCTATAAAAAGAAACTAATCCTTTTATTTCCTCCCTTCTAATCTATGTGCTCTTTGTTTATGTTCTTGTTTTATTTCAGAGTCCAGTACTCCCAGTACTGTGTGATGAATTAGAGGCGTTACAGTGAAATCTTTATTTTGTTCTGACCCTAAAAGTTAAACCTTCAATCTTAGAGCATCAAGCCATAGGCATTTAATAGATTATCTTTATTAAATTTAGATAATTATCTTTATTAAGTGCAATTGATATTAGAATTTTTTAAATATTTCCAAGAAAATGATGCATTAATTACTATAAGCACATGAGTTTCCTTCCTTTGCTAACATGTTAAATTAACGTGATTGATATTTAATATACAGATCTAGCTTTATTTATATACCTCAAAGTTCCTTGGTCATATTTTTATACATTTCTGAATTAAAACTATTTATATTTTGAGAAAGTTTGATTCTAGGTGCATAAGTGATATTATCTGATAGCTCTCTGTTTTTTAATATTTTTTGTCTGCTTCTTCCTCCTGTATTTTCTGGAAGAGATCAGGTAAGACTAATGTTAATTTCCCTTTAAATGCTCAGCAGAACTGTCTGTGGTCCCCAATCCCACCCCACAAACCCCAGCCCTCTAAGAGTCCCCGGGGGGGGGGGGGAGGAAGCAGCCAGTTCCTAAATGGTTATCAGGTAGGACAGCGTTATGATGCCCCTACTGTTTCCCCTTTAAACAGGAGGTGGCAACAGACCCTGCCCACACATCAGTAGCTAAAGCCACCAGGGCGGTAGACCGCGCTGAGCTGCTTAAACAACCCCAATTCACAGCTTCCTATTTGCCGAGGCTAGATGTCAGGAATAGAGGGGTGTCAGGTGAGCCAGCTGCTTCCAGTGCTCTGAGGAAGGGACAGCCTCAGCCTCAAGTTATAGTTAGCGTTTTTCTCCCGTATCTTGTCACGGTCTCTTCTCCTTGGATGTGCGCTCCTGTATTCGGGTTTCTTTCTTTAAGACAGTAAGCGATTTTGAATTTTGAAGGAATCAATGGCTTAATTTTAACTGAATTGTTACAGTAAGAACTGCACTTCCCAATAATGTCCTGCTTTCAGAGCTAGTACTCTAAAACAGAAGGTTTTTGTAGTTGTTTGTTTTGGGGTTTTTGATTTTTTTTTTCTGTTATTTAACTTCTGAGGGAAACAGATTTCAACTCACCATACTTTCCAAAAGTTAAGCAATAATGAGCAAACATAGGGGCACTGGTTCCTTGCTTGAATTCATGCGTTGCCCTTGAAATTGCCAGCCTCCCTACACTGCCTGAGCAAGAAAGAAACCCCCCCCCCCCAAAAAAAAACCCTGTTCTCTACTTGCCTGGATCCCATTAATTCCAAATGCTTAAGATGAACTCTGCAGATGCCGTGAAGCTCCGCGAACCAGAACTTAGGAGAATGGAGGATACCATTTTATCAGTACTACAACAGTCAGGGAAGACAGAGGCACACACAGTTGAGGAACAGTGCAATTTGCTCCCAGCTGAGGGCAAGCCGGAAGACTCAGCTATCTCACCAAGGACCCTGAGTGGCCAAGGAACGACTTTTGGACAGCCAGCTGTGACTCGTAGAAACAGCTGAGATAGACAGCAGGCAGCAACTAGGAAGAGCACTGCCACTTCGCCAACTCGAAAGGCAGGTCACACCACTCCATCTTCCTCACCACGTGCCCATCTCCAGGGCTGACAGCAGACTGAGGCAGAGCAGAGCGACAGGGACTGTCCCCAGCTCCACTCTAAGCTCCAGGGACCTTGGAGCTAACTCTTCACTTACATCAATAAGATTGATGTTTTATAAATAGGACATATTCTGCCTCATCAAAGAGACCAATGCACCAACCAAGGACCATGCATGGAGAGGACCTAGACCCCCTGCCCAGATGTAGCCCACAGACTCAGTCTCCAAGTGGGGTGGGTCCCTAGTAAGGGGAACAGGGACTGTCTCTGTCATGAACTCAGGGGCTGGCTCTTTGATCACCTTACCCTGGGGGGAGCAGCCTTACCAGGCCACAAAGGAAGATAACACAGCCAGTCCTGATAGGCTAGAGTCATATAGAAGGGGATGAGGACCTCCCTTATCAGTGAACTAGAGGAGGGGTATGGGAGGAGATGAGAGAGGAAGGGTGGGACTGGGAGGAGACCAGGGAATGGGGTACAGCTGGGATACAAAGTGAATAAATTGTAATAATTAATTAATTAATTTATTATTATTATTATTTTAAAGAGTCCTTCTGAACAGAAGGCGAGAAGTTATGGGTGGAGACTGGTGCTGAGAGCGCTGCTGCCCAGCAGGGAACAGCAGTTCGCTAGATCAAACCTGAGGGAGGCGAGCAGGACAAAAGGGACCTGATGTCAGGCTGGGTCCCGACTGAGTGGAGGCTCACAACAGTCAAACCTTTGCCAGTGGCACCCACTAATTTCTGCTGTGCCACCCAGCATCCTAGGACAGAAACTTTCCCCTGTCAGCAGGCTATAAAATTAGATAGTTTTAAGTACTAAGGTGACTGTAGACATTTGGACTGAGAGGAAATTCTCAACCCATAACTCAGCCCATTTGCTTTCTGACTGAGGTATCAATTTTTAGCCTAACACTAACACATTCTTAACATGAAAATGCAAGCGTACACGTGCTTCTGTGAACAATAGTTATCACTACAATAAATGAGTAGAATTGGAAGGACTTTTGCCTTTTGTGTGTGCCTTATATCACTGTGTGATGAGCACTGGTTAGAGGAATTAGTTTAATGAAGTTAAACTTACTTCACTAGGCAAAAACGTGGTTGCATTTCACTCTAAATACAAAAGTTGTTTTGTTTTGTTTTGTCTTGTTTTGCCTGCAGCACTCAAGCATTTCCAGCGTGGAGTCAGTGTGGATCGGGGTAGAGCACACCAAACCAATACGCCAATAACTGGCGTTCCTGTGCTTCCTCATTTCATGCTGAAGCCACGTGATATGAACACCGCCGGACGGGTCTGAGAATTCTTCGGCCTCATTTAGGCGGGAATCATGGCTTCTGGCCAAAGAATGCCCACCCTGAGTGGGAACCTTCTCTAGAGATAAGGTAAAACTGGGTTCTCTCTAGTTCTGCCAGATGAAGGCAGCACTGAGCAGCGCTGTGGAGGAGCAAAGGAGACAAGGTGAAGGAGTGAAGAGACAGTTCAAACACGGGGGCAGAGGGAGGGGTGTGAACTCTCAGGCTTCTGCTTTTCCCTTCCACTTTTTCCTGCATGGGAACTCAGAGGGCATGCTTGACGGCTTGCACGGGGCCTGCTCTGGCTGTCAGCTCCCCCACAGCCCTGCTGGTGCCCTCTAAAGGAGTAAGGGGAGCCTAGAGCACTAGAGTAGCGCTTGCTTACGGAATCGTTACGTCAGAAATGCAGCTGTAGCTTTTCATGCACCACCAAGTATCTCACCCAGTAACAGAGAGTAGACAGGGAAAGCCTGATTAAACACAATGTAAGACAATATGGGAAGAGAGTAAGTCCATGGCCCAATATATTTGCGCGTGCGTGTGTGCCTGTGTGTGTATGTGTGTACGTGTGTATAAATTCTCTGAGAGCAAACAAACATTCTCCCAGATCTCACCTGGAGAGAAATACTATGGTGGTAGCTCTAAGGTGGCCAGTGCCTTGTTCTAAAACCTCCAATCTCTGTAGCAGAACAATTTCCCCCAAAAGGCAGTGGTGCTCCAGGGCCTGTGTCCTACCTGTGCTGCTGTTCGCGCCAGGGCCAGGGCAAGGGCTGGCCAGCAGTGGCCCCGAGGCCTGGGCCGGGGGTGGAGGCTGCCCATCGCTCAGCTGCTTGACCCGCTTCCGATGCGACTTGCCATCGTAGTGGACCTGAGCCTGAGCTGCAGAGTTGAGCTGGATGTTGCACACGTCACAGAAGGAGAAGAGGATCTTCTTCTTCTCTTTCCTGAGCTGGTCCCCAGGCCTGTCGCTCTTTAACCCCTTTTCTTCAAAGCCCCGGAGGAAGGTTGCCATATTCACAGTTCCATCTTCACGAGGGTCGTCAGGGCTGAAGGAGTACTTCATAACTGAAGGAAAAAAATACCACAGCAGTCTATAAATTTATATGCGCTCTCTTAGCTTCCAGTGCAGGTATAATTCATGTTTAATGGTTGGTTTTAGCAGACTTGGTCTTCAACAAATCTAAAGATTTTATGACTCTCTCTACCCCCTTTCCTATTACTTCTTCCTCCCTCCATCCTTTGAACTCCTGCCTACCCATGAGATCTTAGCTAGCAGTGGCCTTCTCCAGGGAGACCATTCTGAACCCAGAAAGAGGACATGGCCTGGCCATGTGCACCCACAGACCTACATGGCTTCTTTCACAGAACCTGTCACATCCTCTGTTCCATGCCTAAGGAATTCTTTATCAGTTTCCTCCATTAAGTATGATCTCCGTGGGGACTGCAGCCTCATCTCCGGGTATGTCTTAGGCCTACAACTATACAGAGTGGACATGTAAATTATCTGTTTATAAAAGGAAGGAATGTTTGGAACCCAAAAGCTGTTTCAAAGAGTATGTGAAGACAGAAATGAACATGCAGAACACACGTGTACACAGACATGCACGCACACACATGTGCATTTGAACACATGCACGCAGACACAGGCCAGAGGTAGGGCTGACAAAGACGAAAGCACACTATGGCAACAACTTACACTGAGTTGTGTTGTAAACGCCCTTTGACAGACCAGCTGGCTGGAATTTACACGTACTTTCTTGTAGATGTAGTGAAACAAACTGCTGGTCAGCTTCCAGGTTAGTCCATAAATCCCAATTTAATCTTTGATAAGCTTGAAGTGTAGAGCATCTGGAATAAAAAAATAAGAAAGGCAAACACTGTAGTGAATCAACATATATGTTAAAGGGGTAAAACAAAATCTGACATAATCTTATTTTTAAATGCTGCTCGTTTCTTTCATTTATCAGAGAACAGGAACATGTAGAATTATACCCATCCTAAGGGATTTTAAAAGAAACTTTTTAGTTCCTTGTGAACCTCAGTTAATGAAAGTGACCTTGCCTTTTTATTTATTTATTTATTTTACTGTTCACTCCTACTTTAAAACAGGTAAGTGTTCGTTTCAGTCGATCCCAGAACTGCTGGCATTTTCAGGCTACCCATGAGACTGTTTCACTGTTTTGTTTCTTGGGTTGATGAGGAGAAGGCCACTCTTGGTGAGGACGGGGCAAAGGGGTGTGCAGGCACGGAGACAAAACACCTGTAGCCCCACGCTTAAGAGACTGAGAAAGGAGACTCTGAAGCTAGCTCAGGGCCAGGAAGGGCCATACAGCAAAACACATATCAGAAAAGCAAGATGAAAAGAAAAGCAAGGGCAAATACCTAGGCAGCAAGCAAATGAAACATGGCATGCTGGAGGAAGAACAGGCTGAAGAGGATGGCCATGAAGGTTAAAAAGTGAATAATCATGGCGGAAGAAGATGGCGGCGGCTAGTGTGCACCTCAGCTGAAGGGCAAAGGACCCGCAACGCCGAAATTGGTGAGTGAAGGGGCTGATCAACCCTGAACAGAGTTATCTAGACTTCCAGGAAGAAAGAGACTAACCTTGATCTGAGTCCATCTAGAATCAGGTCACGGCAGACTCCTCCAGGAGGAGTCACCTCGGGAGGTGATCCCTAGGCACTTCCCTGTAGCCAACTCCCTCTTTGGAGGAGTCAGGCGGCGGCCAGCAGAACCCTCCACAGACCACACTGTCTGCACCCCAGTCCCAGTGAGAGATGCAGCTTCCACCAAAAAACACCAAAATCTGGGGCTGAGAAAAACCAATCCTTTCGGGTACTCCCCCGAGAATGCAGAGCAGAGGGATAGAGAGGCGCATAGCAGCGTCACAGCCCCTGGACCCCAGTGCTGCCGGCTGCTCCTAGCAAACAAACTTCAGCTCGGGATCTGGGACTGCAGTCATTCAACACATCCTGACACTCTCCCGGGTCCAGCGCAATAAAGTCTAGAACCAAGTCCTAGCACCGGCGCCCCTGGGCAGAGAAATCCCCAGCTCAGGATCGGGGACTGAGAATTCCCAACCCCTCTTGGCACTCGCCTGAGAGCGCTGCCATAAGCTTGCCCTAGCAGAAGGTCAGACAGGCAGCCTGCCACAGGCCACAGCACCCCCTCTCCAACATACCCAGCAGCCCATGGCAGAGAAACCCAAGTTCTAGATCTGAGGACACTCAACCCTACCTGGTACTCTCCTGGAACCGCCGAAAAATTTGCTAGGATCTGGTGGCTTCTGGCAGAGAGATCTGGGCCCGGGATCTGGGATTGAGGACACTCAACCCAACTTTTTCCCCGTGCTACCACATAGCCACCATAAACCTTCCATGGTGGAGGGGAAGGTCAGAGAGGCACACAGGGCAGGTGGACACCGAGTCCTGCTGCTACAGTGCCACAGAGCTGACTGTGAGCCTACACCCTCATTTGCCCCAGCAGGATCAAATCGGAGCATAGAGAGCAAGGGGAACCCCTGTGCAATCCAACTGGTCCTGCAAGGGAGTGAGTGTGCCATCTAGGGAGTGTTTGCCCCAGACTCAGGGCCTCTCTACGCAAGCAACCAGACAAGAGATCCTTGCCACCCACATCCCTAGTGTGGGCACCATAGGGATTCTTGGGATAGCGACCCCAACGCTAAAGCCTCTGCCTTGCAGGCCCACCAGTGAAATCCAGGCAAACAATCCCTGGATCCCAGAAATAACTGCATAATAGTGGCCTGCAGGCCACTGCAATAGTCAGGGAATCCGAGCATGCACACTGCGCCCGCTAAAAGCGCACACAAATAGTGCCAGCGTCACATTCCTTACTTAGGCAAAACTGAAACCACACCGCACACTCCCATACCAGTGAACCTCTTTCATCTTCCTGAAAAAACAGTCCAGAAAACAGAAAGAGACAATCTTAGCCTGAACTACAAACTCCAGAAGCAAACAATGAGGGTTATAGATAAGCAGATGGCCAGAGGCAGACGTAAGAACACACCCAACAAAAATCAGGACATTATGGCTTCACCAGCAACCCCACAAAACAATGGACACTTCAATTCACTAGATACACAAGAAAACGACTTTAAAAACTATGTTTTTCTAGCTATTAGAGGCCCATAAAGATGAAATGAACAAAGCCCTCAAAGAAATAGCCACAGAAATCGAGATGAACAAAGAGGAAATAAATAAAACTCTCAGAGAAATAACCATGAAAATTGAGGCAAACAAAGAGGAGATGAACAAATTTCTCAAAGAAATATCTATACAAATGAAGGCAAATAAAGAAGAAATGAACAAAGTTCTCAAGGAAATACAGGCAAATACACCAAACAAGTAGAGGCACAATTAGCAATTTATAGAGAGGAAACAGGCCAAAAAATAGAAGCCATCATGGAAAGACAAGAATTCACATACACATGGATGAAGGAAATGGTGCAAGACATGAAAACAGAATTAGAATCAATAAAGAAAACACAAATAGAGAAAAACCTGGAGCTGGAGAACATAGAGAAAAGATCAGGAACTACAAAGGTAAGCATCACCAGAATACAAGAGATGGAAGAGAGAATCTCAGGTACTGAAGATACACTTGCAGAAATTGACACATCTCTCAAAGAAAAAAATAAAATCAGAAAAGTTTCAAACACAAAACATCCAATAAATCAAGGACACCATGAAAAGACAAAATCTAAGAATAATAGGAGTAGATGAAAAGGAAGACATCAGGCTCCAAGGTCTGGAAAATATTTTCAAGAAAATTAGAGAAGAAAATTTTCACAACTTAAAGAAAGAGATGTCCATAAACATACAAGAGGCCTACAGAACACCAAATAGACTAGACCAGAAAAGAAATTCTTCATGTCACATCATAGTCAAAACACTGAATCTGTAGAACAAAGAAAAAAATTTAAAAGCAGCAAGGCCAAATAACATATGAAGGTAGACCTATCAGAATCACAGCAGATTTCTCAACAGAAACTATGAAAGCCAGAAGGGCCTGGACAGAAATCATGGAGTCCTTAAGGGACCACAGATGCCAACCCAGACTACTATACCCAGCAAAACTTTCAATCATCATAGATGGAGAAGTCAAAATATTCCATGACAAAACAAAATTTAAACAATATCTACACAGTAACCCAGCTCTACAGAAGTTACTAGAAGGGAAACTCCAACCCAAAGAAAACAACTACATCTAAGGAAACAGAGGAAATAGATAACTAAACAACAACAACAAAACCAAAAGAATACAGGCAATGAAATTCAGCAACCCCACCAACCCCACATCAAAAGAAGGTAACAATTGTTGGTCACTAGTATGTATCAACATCAATGGACTCAACTCCCCAATAAAAAGACACAGACTAACAGAATGGTTGCAGAAACAAGATCCAAAATTCTGTTGCATCCAAGAAACACACCTATGTAACAAAGATAAACACTACCTCAGAGTAAAGGACTGGAAAAATGTTTTTCAAGCAAATGGTTCCAGAAAACAAGACAGAGTACCCATCCTAATATCTAATAAAGTAGACTTTCAACCAAAATTAATCAAAAAAGATAAAGAGGGCCACTATATTCTCATCAAAGGAAAAATCCACCAAGAGGACATCTCAATTTTGAACATCTATGCCCCAAATACAAGCGCGCCTACATTCGTAAATAAAACATTATTAAAGCTTAAATCACACATTGATCCTAATACCTTAATAGTGGGAGACTTCAACGCCCCACTCTCACCAAGGGAAAGATCAACTAGACAGAAACCAAATAGGAAAATAAAGGCACTTACAGAGTCCCTAAATCAAATGGACCTAATAGACGTCTACAGATCTTTTCACCCAAACTCAAAAGAGTATACCTTCTTTTCAGCACCACATGGACCTTTCTCCAAAATAGACCATATAGTTGGTCACAAAACAAGCCTCAACAGATACAAGAAGATTGAAATAATCCCTTGTATTCTATCTGACAACCATGGACTAAAGCTGGACCTCAACAACAACGGAAATAACAAAAAGCCGACACGCACATGGAAACTGAACATCTTGCTACTCAATGACAGCTGGGTCAAGGAAGAAATAAATTAAAGACTTCCTAGAATTTGGTGAAAATGAAGGCATAACATATCCAAATTTATGGGACACATTGAAAGCAGTGCTTAGAGGAAAATGCATAGCTCTAAGTGCCTTCAAGAAGAAATTTGTAACATCACATACAAGCAACTTAATGGTCCAACTGAAAACACTAGAAAAAAAAGAAGCGGATACACCCAAGAGGAGCAGACGAATGGAAATAATCAAACTAAGGGCAGAAATCAATCAATTAGAAACAAATAAAACTATTCAAAGAATCAATGAAACAAAAAGCTGGTTCTTTGAAAAAAAATCAACAAGATAGACAAACCCTTACCCAAACTAACTAAAAACCAGAGAGAATCTATCCAAATCAGCGCAATCAGAAATGAAAAGGGTGACCTAACTACAGACATTGAGGATATCCAAACAATCATTAGGTCATACTACAAAAGCCTATATGCCACAAAATTTGAAAATCTAAATGAAATGGACAATTTTCTTGATAGATTCCATCTACTAACATTAAGTCAAGATCAGGTAGAAAGACTGAATAGCCCTATATCCCCCAAGGAAACTGAAGCAGTCATTAACAGTCTCCCCTCCAAAAAAAAAAAAAGCCCTGGGCCAGATGGTTTCAGTGCAGAATTCTACCAGACCTTCAAAGCAG